ATTAACCAGGCATAGTGGCACACACCTGTGATCCCAGCTACTAGGGAGGCTGAGGTGAGAGGATTGCTTGAGCCTGGGAGATCAAGGCTGTACTGTCCTGTGATCACAGCCTGGGCTACAGAGTGAGACCATGTCTCAAAAAAAAAAAGAAAAAAAAAAGGTTTTTTTTTTTTTAAATGTATTTGGTAACTAACCCTTGGTTATGTATATTCCTTTTGCAAACATCTTTTTCTTCTTTGTAGAGACAGAGAGGCAGTTTACATTGTATATGATGAACAGTTAATTTTTTTTTTTTTTTTTTGGACACGGAGTCTCACTCTATCACCTAGGCTGGAGTGCAGTGGTGTGATCTTGGCTCACTGCAACCTCCGCCTCCCAGGTTCAAGCGATTCTCCTGTGTCAGTCTCCTGAGGAGCTGGGATTACAGGCACCCATCACCATGCCCAGCTAATTTTTTTTTTGTGTTTTTAGTAGAGACAGGGTTTTACCATGTTGGCCAGGCTGGTCTTGAACTCCTGACCTCAGGTGATCCACCCGCCTTGGCCTTCCAAAGTGCTGGGATTACAGGCGTGAGCCACCGCACCTGGCCTAGTTTTAAAAATTAATGTAGTTAAGTTTATCAGTATATTTCTTTATAGTAGTGATTGTTTTGTCTTACATAACCCAAAGTCATAAAGAGAATGTTTATGTAGCATGAGATGGGATCTAATTTTGTTTTTCCAAATAGATAGCCAAGTGTCCCTGTACTAGCTATTCAATTGTCTGTTCTTTCACCACATATTGATTTATAATGTCATTTCCATTATACATCAAGTTTTTTCATATCTAAGACTTTGTTCCTGGGTACTCTGTTCTGTTTCACTTGCATGTTTGTTTCTGCAGCAGTACTAAATTGTTTTATTCACTATACCTTTAGAAAAAGTCTTGATATCTGGTAGAGAAAGTTCCTCTGTCTTTATTCTTATTACTTTTAGGAGTGGGGAAGGGGTTATTCTTGGCCTTTTACTTCTCTATGTGAGTTTGAGAAATGGCTTATTATATTCCATCAAGAGACCTTGCTGTAATTTTGATTAAAATTAGATTGCATTTATATATCAATTTGACATAAAGTTGACATCCTTATAATGCTTATCTCTTTTATTGTCCATCTTTTAATATTTTTACTCTTATTTTCTGAGAGATTTTCTCAATTTTGTATTGCAGCCTTTCTGTTACATTTTATTTCATCTTTTGGGTTTTTAATTTCTAAGAGGTCATCGTTGTTATTTGATGATACCTTTCTTAGTATATTCTCCTTGTTTCATGTTTGTAATGTCTTAATTTAACTCTTTGAGTGTATAAGTCATACTTATTTTGAAGGTGCTTTTCCCCCTACCCCTCCCTTGATGGTCTTGTCTTCTTTTCGAGACTGGGTCTTGCTCTGCTGCAAAGGCTGGAAATGCATGGCTCACTCATGGCTCACTGCAGCTTAAACCTCCTGTTCTCAAGCCATCTTCCCACCTCAGCCTCTCGAGTACCTGGGACTACAGATGTGCACCACCACACCTGGCTACTTTTTTCTATTCTTTGTAGAGATAGAGTCTCACTGTGTTGCCCAGTCTGGTCTTGAACTCCTGGACTCAAGTGGTTGTCCCACCTTGGCCTCCCAAAGTGCTGGGATTACAGGTGTGAGCCACTGTGCCTGGCCTGGTCTTTATTTTCTATGAGTGTTTGGCCTCATTTTGTAGTAGCCTCTGAGTTTCACATGAGAAGTGATATAGTTTGGATGTGTGTCTCTGCCCAAATCTCATATTGAAATGTAATCACCAGTGTTGGAAATAGGGCCTGGTGGGAGGTGATCTTGGGGGCACATTTCTCATGAATGGCTTAGCACCATTCCTCTTGGTACTATCCTCATAATAATGAATGAGCTCTCACAAGATCTGGTCATTTAAAAGTGTGTAGTGCCTCCTTTGTCGTGCTCCTGATCTGGCCATGTGACATGCCTGCTCCCCCTTCACCTTCTACCATGATTATAAGTTTCCTGAGGCCTCCCCAGAAGCCAAGTGATGCCAGCATCATGCTTCCTGTACAGTCTGCAGAACTGTGAGCCAATTAAACCCTTTTCTTTATAAATTACCCGGGCTCAGGTATTTATAGCCATGCGGGAACAGCCTAATACAAGAACCTTTCCTCAAATGTCCAGTGATTCTAGACTGTGTGTTTATATTTAAGAATGAGGCACTAAAAAGCTGAGAAGAAGCTCTTTGGATATGGAACCCTTGCATTGAATTGGGGAACCTTACGATGTCTTTTTTCTTAGCCTGGTTGTTTTCCTAGAAAGAAATCTTTAGTCTCCTCCTTATATTGCTGTGAGTGTAGGAGTCAGTGTAAAATGCTATCAGGCAGCATTGCATGCTACAGAGAAAACGTTTTAAAGAAAGAGTCAACCAATGTAACAAACTTCTTTGTTGCCTTATTTTAAGAAACTGCCCCTGACTGCCCAGCCTTCAGCCACTACCACCCTGATCAGTCAACAGTCATCAACAAACGTTGAGTTAGGACTTTCCACCATTAAAGATGATGACTTCCTGAAGGGCCAGATGATGGTTAGCATCTTTCTTTCTTTCTTTTTTTTTTTTTTAAAGCAATAAAGTATTTAAATTTTATTTATTTATTTTTGAGACAGAGTCTTGCTCTGTTGCCCAGGCTGGAGTGCAGTGGCATGATATTAACTCACTGCAATCTCTGAGTTATCTGCTTCCCGGGTTCAAGCGATTCTCCTGCCTCAGCCTCCCGCAGTAGCTGGGATTACAGATGTGCGCCACCACACCTGGCTAAGTTTTGTATTTTTAGTAGAGATGGGGTTTTGCCATGTTGGCCAGGCTTATCTCGGACTCCTGGGCTCAAGTGATCCATCCACCTTGGCCTCCCAAAGTCCTGGGATTACAGACGTGAGCCACTGCGCCTGGCCTCAATAAAGTATTTTTAAATTAAAATAAATACTTTTTTTATATATAATGTGATTGCACACTTAATAGATTACAGTATAGTGCAAGCATTACTTTTATTTGCAATTTTTTGGAAACAAAAATTGATGTGACTCACTTGATTGCAAGATTTGCTTTATGGCAGTGGTCTGGAACTGAACTAGCCATATTTCTAAGGTATGCCTGTATTAAGAAGTCTATTAACTGAAGAAAGTAATTATTAAGAGTTCATGTATAGTCTGCTATAGAATAGTAATCTTATGAATAAGAGGATTCATAAGAACAAGAATAAGGAATTGGAATCTCACACCAGTCAGAATGACTATTATTAAAAAGTCAAAAAAATAACAGATGCTGGCAAGGTTGTGGAGAAAAGGGAACACTCATACATTATTGGCGAGAGTGTAAGTGCACTCAACCATTGTGGAAAACCGTGTGGCAATTCCTGAAAGAACTAAAAACAGGACTATCATTTGATCCAGCAATCCCATTTCTGGGTATATCCTCAAAGGAGTAGAAATTGTTCTGCCACAAAGACTATATCCTCAAAGGAGTAGAAATTGTTCTACCACAAAGACACATGGCATGCATATGTTCATTGCAGCACTATTCACAATAGCAAAGACATGGAGTCAACCTAAATGCGTATCAGTGTTAGACTAGATAAAGAAAATGTGGTATATATACACCATTAAATACAATGCAGCCATAAAAAAGAATGAGATAATATCCTTTGCAGGAACATGGATGGAGCTGGAGGCCATTATCCTTAGCAAACTAACACAGGAACAGAAAACCAAATACCACATGTTCTCACTTCTAAGTGGGAACCAAACAATGAGAACACGTGGACACAAAGAGGGGAACAACAGACACTGGATCCTATATGAGGGTGGAGAGTAGAAGAAGGAAGAGGATCAGAAAAAAATAACTATTGGATACTAGGCTGAGTACCTGGGTGATGAAATAATCTGTACAACAAATCCCTGTGACACGAGTTTACCTGTATAACAAACCTATATATGTAGCCCTGAACCTAAAACAAAAGTTAAAAAAAAAAGAAGAAGTTGGAGATATGAAATAAGAAGTTGAATTTTAAATGTTTCCTCATCTTTTCACTGTGGACTTAGGATGCTGGGTGTTTTTCAAACTAGAATCTTTGATAGGGAATTATATTTGATGTTTGCAACATACTCAGATTCTAATTGTATCTTTTGAGTGGCTAGGTATTCTTGGAAGCATATATACATATTCATAATGTGTTTGTCCATGAATAACATTACTCTGGTGAGGGAAATACGGGAAAGAGGACTTTGTTAAAGGCCTTAAATGAGAACAATGAATCTAGATTAGTTAAGGTGGAGAATGCCTTTGATATATGTGTGAACTTTACGTTTGAACTTTTTCAATAACATTCAACTCCCATTTCTGTGTTTAGTTGGGAAAGGGGATTGAGAGATTTTAGTATAAGACTACCTGAAGTTATTTCCTTTTCAATAGCCAAGCAAAGATTTCAAAGCTTTTTGAAAATCTAAGAGGAAATGAAACACAGCCATCTAGTGGATGCAATTTTAAAAGCTTGTAATATAAGCATGTAATATAAGTACCATGAGCTCATGTAAGCATTATAAACATTATTAGGCATTCAAGTTAATTTCTTGTTACACAAAGGGTAATATACATTTACAAATTTTAATGGGAAGGGGAAGCATTATATATGATTATTGAACTACAGCATTACATAAATACCTTCAGAGGTCAGTTAAACTAATATAACTTTGTTATATGCTATAAGAGTTTCCATCTTAATATTAATCAGAGTTTTTGAACTGTAAAACTTCAAGAGTGCTTTTAAACACATGGACATTCTGAAACACTGATGGAAAATATCTAGGCCTCTTTTGCTTGTATAAATTAACCTATTATTATGATTGAAGCACAGATTTAGTTACTCCCTGTCCTCTATTGGAGTGACTCTTAGTCATTGATGGCTTATAAACTTTATTGATGCAAAAATGAATTATTTTCCAGGAGCAAGATACTGCTGTGCAAAATATGCATAAGAAAGTAGAAAAATTAGAAACAGAGCATATGGACTGCTCTGACCTTTTACGGCGACAAACAAGTGAACTTGAATTTAGCACTCAACGAGAGGAACGCCTTAGAAAAGAATTTGAGGTACATTTTCTTATTCTTTAATATATATGTGTACAAACTTTCATACACACACACACACACACACACACACACACACACGCACGTATGTAAAACCCATTCCGTGATTTAAGGTTGGAGAGTTTTACTCTGTGATAATATATAAAACTAATTTTAGGAATACCTGTTTATAATATATATTTGGCTTCTTTGAAAACTTTTGTATCTGAGTATTTTGTGTTTTGCCCTAGTTTAAAAAAATCTGTTCGCTTTTGAACAATTGACTCTTGTGAAATATTTGGGAAGTTTGCAAGTAATTGTTTACATTGTTAGGTTGAGTAAGCAATGCAGGAAAAGTTTTGGTGTACATAAGTTCTAAATGATAAAAGTGATATTACATTTTAATTTTGTAGTTTGAATCATGTATGGTTATGTGGAATGATTTTCAGATGAGACTTTACTTGGGAAAGGAGCATCAATTTACAGATGAAAAATAGGATTTTTATTAGTGAATGATACTGAAAATAACTTTAATCTTAAGAGAAATCTAATTGATTTGTTAGTTCATCTTTTTAAAATTTTTCTTTGCTTTGTGGGAAATGAAATATTTAAACAGATAAAGAAGTTTTGTACTAAATATAATTTATAATCTTTATTAGGCAAATGAATACTTAGGAAGAGTATTTAATGGTAAAGTGCTAGAGTTAACACTTATTAAACTTACTGTGTCACCTAACATTGTTAAGAACAGCAATAAGGATTATAACTTTTAGGAGGAAGGAAGTGTGATTCCTAGTATTTTTAGATGATATGTACATAAAATGAATAGTAAAATCAGCTTTAAAATTATCAACGCTAGTAAAAACATTCAATAAGGAGGCTAGGCAGAAAATAACATATGACAATTTAAAAAAAATTAATTCATTCTTTTTTATTACACTTTAAGTTCTAGGGTACATGTGCACAATGTTCAGGTTTGTTACATATGTATACATGTGCCACGTTGGTGTGCTGCACCCATTAACTTGTCATTTACATTAGGTATATCTTCTAATGCTATCCTTCACCAGTCCCACGACAGGTCCCGGTGTGTGATGTTCCCCATCCTGTGTCCAAGTGTTCTCATTGTTCAATTCCCACGTATGAGTGAGAATATGTGGTGTTTGGTTTTCTGTCCTTGTGATAGTTTGCTCATAGTAATGGTGTCCAGCTTCATTCATGTCCCTACAAAGGATATGAACTCATCCTTTTTTATGGCTGCATAGTATTCCATGGTGTATATATGCCACATTTTCTTAATCCAGTCTATCACTGATGGACATTTGGGTTGGTTCCAAGTCTTTGCACTTGTGAATAGTGCCACAATAAACATACGTGTGCATGTGTCTTTATAGTAGCATGATTTATAATCCTTTGGGTATATACCCAGTAACAGGATGGCTGGGTCAAATGGTATTTCTAGTTCTAGATCCTTGAGGAATCGCTACACTGTCTTCCACAATGGTTGAACTAGTTTACAGTCCCACCAACAGTGTAAAAGTGTTCCTATTTCTCCACATCCTCTCCAGCACCTGTTGTTTCCTGACGTTTTAATGATCGCCATTCTACCTGGTGTGAGATGGTATCTCATTGTGGTTTTGATTTGCATTTCTTTGATGGCCAGTGATGATGAGCATTTTTTCATGTGTCTGTTGGCTGCATAAATGTCTTCTTTTGAGAAGTGTCTGTTCATATCCTTTACCCACTTTTTGTTGGGGTTGTTTGATTTTTTTCTTGTAAATTTGTTTAAGTTCTTTGTAGATTCTGTATATTAGCCCTTTGTCAGATGGATAGATTGTAAAAATTTTCTCCCATTCTGTAGGTTGCCTGTTCGCTCTGATGGTAGGTTCTTTTGCTGTGCAGAAGCTCTTTAGTTTAATTAGATCCCATTTGTCAATTTTGGCTTTTGTTGCCATTGCTTTTTGTGTTTTAGTCATGGAGTGCTTGCCAATGCCTATGTCTTGAATGGGATTGCCTAGGTTTTCTTCTAGGGTTTTTACGGTTTTAGGTCTAACATTTTAAGTCTTTAATCCATCTTGAATTATTTTTGTATAAGGTGTAAGAAGGGATCCAGTTATCAGCTTTCTGCATATGGCTAGCCAGTTTTCCCAACCACCATTTATTAAATAGGAATCCTTTCCCCATTTCTTGTTTTTGTCGGTTTGTCAAAGATCTGATGGTTGTTAGATTGTGTGGTATTATTTCTGAGGGCTCTGTTCTGTTCCATTGGTCTATATCTCTGTTTTGGTACCAGTACCATGCTGTTTTGGTTACTGTATCCTTATAGTATAGTTTGAAGTCAGGTAGTGTGATACCTCCAGCTTTGTTATTTTTGCTTAGGATCATCTTGGCTATGCGGGCTCTTTTTGGTTCCATATGAAATTTAAAGTAGTTTTTTCCAGTCCTATGAAGAAAGCCAGTGATAGCTTGATGGGGATAGCATGTCATCTATAGATTACTTTGGGCAGTATGACCATTTTCATGATATTGATTCTTCCTATCCATGAGCATGGAATGTTCTTCCATTTGTTCATGTCCTCTCTTATTTCCTTGAGCAGTGGTTTGTAGTTCTCCTTGAAAAAGTCCTTCACATCCCTTGTAAGTTGGATTCCTAGGTATTTTATTGTCTTTGAAGCAATTGTGAATAGGAGTTCACTCATGATTTGGCTCTCTGTTTGTCTGTTATTGATTTTTGTATCCTGAGACTTTGCTGAAGTTGCTTATCAGCTTAAGGCGATTTTGGGCTGAGACGATGGGGTTTTCTAAATATACAATCATGTCATCTGCAAACAGGGACAATTTGACTTCCTCTTTTCCCTAATTGAATACCCTTTATTTCTTTCTCCTACCTGATTGCCCTGGCCAGAACTTCCAACACTATGTTGAATAGGAGTGGTGAGAGAGGGCATCCCTGTCTTGTGCCAGTTTTCAAAGGGAATTTTTCCAGTTTCTGCCCACATACCTAGTTTATTGATACATCCCATCCATACCTAGTTTATTGAGAGTTTTTAGCATGAAGCGCTATTGAATTTTGTCGAAGGCCTTTTCTGCATCTCTTAAGATAATCATGTGGTTTTGTCTTTGGTTCTGTTTATATGATGGATTACGTTTATTGATTTGTGTATGTTGAGCCAGCCTTGCATCCCAGGGATGAAGCCAACTTGATCATGCTGGATAAGCTTTTTGATGTGCTGCTGGATTCGTTTGCCAGTATTTTATTGAGGATTTTTGCATCTATATATAGATAGATAGATAGATGGGAGGAGATTATTAAGGGAACTGGTTTGTTTGGTTATGGATGCTAAAACCCATAACAGGCCGTCTGTAAGCTGGAGACTCTGGGATGCCAGTAGCATAGCTGAGTTCAAGTCTGAAAAACTCAGAACCAGGGGAGTCAATGGTATAATTTTCAGCCTGAGGCAGAAGGCCTGAGAACCTTGGGGTGCCACTGGTGTAAGACCTGGAGCCTCAAGGACAGAGATCCTTGAGTTCTGATGTCCAAGGGCAGGAGGAGGAAAGTGTCTGTGCTCCAGGGGAGAGGGTGGGGAGAGAGAGGTGAGGAAAGAGGGAGAGAGAGAGGAGGAGAGAGAGGAAGCGGTGAGAAGATAGAGGGGGAAAGAGAGTGAGAGAAAATTATCTTCTCTCCTTTTTTGTTCTATCCAGGCCCCCAGTCAGTTGGATGGTGCTTGCCTATGGTGAGGGCAGATCTTCCCTACTAAGTTCACTGGCGCAGCTGCCAATCTTCTCTGGAAACACCCCTCACAGATACACCCACAAGTAATGGAAAGAGTGCCTTACCAGTTCTTTAGGTATTCCGTAATCTAGTCAGATTGATACCTAAAATTAACTGTTGCTGCAGACTTTTAATGAAACTGAATTGAAAAGCCAGGAGTAGGGTTGTAGATATTATATAACAATTTAACATATTAAGGTATCTTTTTAAATTAGTAAGGAGAGGAAATACTATTCCAGTGACCTAGAGGGCCCCCGCCGCCTGCCCCCTCCAGTTGTCCTGCCTTTCTGGACTGAGCCCGTGTACATTTTACATGTATTGATTGATGTCTTATGTCTCCCTAAAATATATCAAACCAAGCTGTAGCCTGACACATACATGGCACATGTTCTCAGGATCTCCTGGGGCTGTCACAGGCCATTGGTCACTCATATTTGGCTTAGAATAAATCTCTTCAAATATTTTACAGAGTTTGACTGTTTTTGTTTTTGTTGACAGTATTAGGGTAGATGTAATTGGACCGAATATAGATTTTTAAGTTGAAAGTCATTTTCTCTTGGAATTTGAAGGCCTTGCCTCTATTTTCTTCTGTTGTTACTGTGAGGCCTTATGCTATTCTGGTTTGTATTCTTTATTTGTGACCCTTTTCTCACTCTCTTCGTCTCCAAAAATGCTCTTGATCCTCTTTTTTTAGAATACATTTTCATTATGGAAAACTTTAAATGTATGTAAAAGTAGACAGAATAATATAATGAACCTAATATCCATGACCAGCTTCAACAATGATCAATTTATGAACAATTATGATTTCCAAAAATAAAGGTTCCTTTATTTAAAGTTGCATTATCAATATCACACATAAATTGTTTAATGATAATAACTGAATATAGTCAAATATCCAGACATTATTCAAATTTAAAATTATCTCATAAATGGCATAAATATTATGTATGTTTACAGTTTGATTCTGCATCTCAATTAGGTCTACATATCTATATGTCTGTTAGTCTCTTTCAGTCTACAAGTTCTCCATCTATATCTTTCCTTTTTTCCTTGTAGTATGTTTTTGAACACACCAAATTATTTGTGCTATTGAGTTCCCACTGGTTGTAAAATTTCAGAACATCAGAGATAACAATGTTCCTTAGAATAGATCTTTTCTACTTAGTGTGCAGGACACGCATTGGCCATTTTAGCCAGGAAACCCAGTGTCCTTCATGTTCAGGAATTCTCTTGTGTTATTTCTTCACCA